AAGTATATATACGTAATCCAGAATAATAATAAAAAAGCATCAAATTTATTTGACTAGGATTGATATTTATAAAGATTGATGAACTAATATAGTTACCCTTTAAATTTGGTTAAATTTTCAATTTGGTCCCTAAACTATTATACGAACCTTGATTTGGTCCTTACTGTTTACTAATTTACCTCAAATTAGTCATTTCGTAAAAAAAAAAGCTGATGTGTCCATTATTTAATTGCTAAAAATAGTGACTTGACGACAAAAAATGGTAACTTAATAGCCACGTGTCACGTTAATGACGAGGCATGTCAGTTGTTTTTGTACAAAATGACCAACTTGGGACAAATTGATAAATTCGGGGATCCGTACAATAGTTCAAGAACCAAATCAGAGATTTTTTTAATTCAAGGACCAAATCAAAAGTCCGTACAATAGTTTAAGAACCAAATTAAGGATTTAACCTTCAAATTTCTTATATTTCCAATATATTCATCAAAAGGCTTATTTTGCATCCTCATCATCCCATTCAATTGAGTCTTCTTCTGTCTCCTCATCATCTCATTATTTTTTAAGCCTACATTCAAAACAAAAAATATAGATTCTATTATTTTTTCAAAAAATTATTTTTGATAAAGTAAAAAATTCTATATGAAATAAAAATCAAACAAAAATCATACAAAAATCTTCTTCTCTTTATTAATCTCTTTTCAAATTTCACTTCCTCATGCACATTTTTTTCCAACTAGAAAAAAAAAAGTGCATGAGGTGAAAAAATTAAAAATGATAAAAATAAATAATAAATAAAAGTGTTATAATCGATGATGAATGAAATTGTAATCTTATTTTTTTATTCTCTATAAAAATTAGGCATCTATTCATCTTCCTTTGGTTTAATTCATTATATATGTCACAAAAACTAATAATAATAAAATAATTGAAAATATTAAGAAAAGAAGTGGAAGAGAAGAAGATGAGAAGATAAAAAAGTAAAACTAATATTATTAATACATATATTTATTACATTTTATTGTAAAAATACTATATGTTCGTTTTTATTTTTAACAAAATATATTTTTTATAATTAAAATAAAAATAATAAATTTTAGTGCCTAATTAATGCTTGGAGGTAGTATTTTATATAATAGATAGACAGATAGATGATAGATATAAATAAATATACATATATATAGATAGATAGATAAATAGATATATATTTTATCTTTTTAATATTTCAAAAAAATTATATTAGTTACCACTATTTTTATAAAAAAAAATTTTAAAAGACTGTAAATTGAGAATTTTAACACATCGATTGTGTGTATATATATAGACTGCTTTTAAAAATAAACATAGAAACTCTTTTTTATTCTTTCATTTGGTTTAGAGTTTTATATGGATTATTATATTTTCTTACCTTTCTAGGTCCAAAGTTTTGCTTCACATCTTGCTCTTAAGTTTTTACATTAGGATAGCATGATATTTGTATTTTTTAAATTTTGGCACCTCTACCTCCTTTTGAATCTTCAAAATTAGAGAATACGATTAAAAATCAACCTAAAATTTATTTTAAGAAAACAAATATTAGCTAACCATCTCAAGTATATATTAAAACCAAATAAAGTTATACTTAAAAGTGATATAGATATACTTAAATCAAATGTTAGCTTATTGATTTAATTTTGATGAATAACGTGAGTGAAAGCTTCCATTAGTTGGAAAGAACCATCCATTAAGACAATTACTTTTGGAGTTTGGACATTTTAATTTTGCAATCTTTTATAGGCTTAGAAAAGAGAGTTTAAGAGTTCTAATTATTACAAATAATTTATTTGAATTTAATACTAAAATTTAGATATAATAATAAGGATAAATAATATTTTAATAAAGGTTAAACCTCCAATTTGGTCCCTGAACTATTGTACAGACCCCCATTCTAGTCCCTGAACTAAAAAATCTCTAATTTGGTCCATGTACTATTATATGGAGCCCCAATTTGGTCCCTACCGTTTACCAATTTGCCCCAAGTTGGTCATTCCATTCAAAAAACAACTCACGTATTCGTTACTTAACGACAAAAAATTGTAACTTAATGATGAAAAATAATAACTTAACAGCTATATGTTACATTAATAATAAGACATGTCAGTTGGTTTGTGTATGGAAAGACCAACTTTGGGTAAATTGGTAAATAGTAAGATCAAATTAGGGGTTCGTACAATAGTTTAGGAACCAAATTAGAGATTTTTTTAGTTCAAGGATTAAATTTAGGATCCGTACAATAGTTTAGAGATCAAATTGAGAATTTAACCTTTAATAAATAATTATTGAATATGAAAAGTTTTATTTGCATATTAAAGTTTAACTGGGTTTTTATATAAAAGAGAAAGCAAAAAGATGCACCTCTTTATCTTTTTTAATTTAATATACATGTAACAAATAATAATAAAAATGCCTATTACTCCATTTTAATGCATCTCTTTTTTTCTTTCTTTCTTTTTTATGCAAACAATTTTTAAATGCATATCCTAATTAATGCAAAAGGTAGCATTATATATATATATTTATATAGATTAAGCATAATTAGAAAAATATAAAACAGTAAATGAATAATTTCTAGTACTAAGACTTGAAAGTTGATATTTAACAAATTAATAACTCACCAGGTACACCAAAAAAAAGTCATTAAAAAATTTATTAATTATGAAAACGTTTTTATCATGTATTACAATTCAACCTTGAATACAAAACTAAGAAGTTTAATTATATGAATTTTTTTTTTTAATTATTGTAGTTCAATCTTGCATAGAACTTGATATCTGATTCATTAAAAATTGAATCATACAATTCTACACTACCTATATATATATATATATATATATGAAATAGGAAGTGTGGATTCGAACTTTCCTATTCCACCAGTTTTTGTTTGCTTTATTAGTCTCGGCTCTTCAATTGCATTTAGCAATTCCTTTTTTCTCTTTTATTTTGTTTATTAGGTTGCAATGGAATTTAGTTCTGAAGCCATCAGTAAGTTGATCAAAGGACAAAAAATACATTTAAAATGTAGTTCAAATAAAATAGATAAGGGATATGGGACAAAAAATACATTTAAAAAGTAGTTCAAATCTAATAAATTAGGGATATGGGACCCATAGGCTATAAGAAATTAATATAAAATAAAAAATTAATTCAACCTATTATTATAGAATATGGGTGTGGGACTCACCGATTAATAAATGTAGATGTGGTGGTTGTCCCATGTGATTTGGTCCTCTCTTTTTCCTATTTTATTCATCTCATCAATCATTAGTAGAAAAATATAGAATAGCAAATCAATAAAACGTAGGAAGACTTGGAAAGGTGAAATTTATCAAATTAATAACTTCTTGGGTTGCAAAAAAGACCGTTGAAATAGTTCTTATTAAGTATTGCAATTCAACCTTGAATAGGAAATTAAGAAGTTTAATTATGTCAAAAATATTTTCTCATTATCTACTACAATTCAATCTTGGATGAGACTTGATATATTTCTTATTCATTAAGAATTGAACCTTCCTACTTTTTTTGGTAATAAACTTTTTCGGTATTTGGAAGTAACATTAAATCTCGATTAATTTGGAATTAAGTTGGATTAAACTTTGTAAGGGAGAAATTCTCTTAACACCTATCTCTTTATTTACAATACTTAAACTTAAGATTTTATTTGAGAGAAACCAAAGTT